AAGAATTTTGACGAATACTGAAATGACTTGTCTACGTAGTTATCAAGAACATATATGTAGATATATATGTAGATATATGGTATATACATTATCAAAATTCTTCGTAAATATGTATAGAATTATTTGCACTTATTTTTATAAAATTCTTATCATTTTTAACATGCTTTCGAGAATTAAATTACAGATATCGTAATACTTTGCTATGTTGGCCATGTGCAACAGTATAACTTTAATAATGAATTATTCGACAACCATGCAGACAATCGTCTTAAACTTTTGCACGGAGGACAGATTCCCATAGACGAATATTTTCTATAAATTCGAATTTATTTTTATCTTCATTTCAGCAACCATCCTCCTTAAGACTGTGCATACGTACACACATATATGCCGTTGGATTTGGACCAAAGACATGGCGGAATACCACATCGGGACCGCAAAGATCAAAGGGGCCGATAGAGAGTGGACCTACTATAATAGTTATACTATGGTAATGCCCAGTAATGCCGTAAATTTATACGCCACAATGACCTCAGCGGCTTACCCCTCGCTTTCATTCTTGCCTTACTATAATATTAAGACGACGGTATTGGAGCTACATTAAGATAGGTACTTCCCAAACATTGTCTTAGATTTAAGCACATTATTGAAATACGGGAGATGTCTTTTCTACAGCTGCGCTACGTTGCACTTTTTTAACTTACAATAAATATAATTAGACATTAAAGAAAAAAGACAAAAAGAGCATAAATGACATTCAGAACACAAATCAACCAGTTCTCTCTCTCTCTCTCTTTCTCTCTAATATTTAATCATCTTAAACACGAGATATAACAGAGGGGGAAACCGCTGACCAAAATCTTGTGCACTAATGCCCAGCGAGCATTACTTTTATCTTATTATCTTATTTTATCTTATTTTATAATGCCCCAGCAAGGCCTAAAGCCCAAACTAATACGCAAAAAAAATGCCTAGTAATGCCCAGTAATGCCGCAAATCTGTACACCACAATGCCCTCAGCGGTTTCCCCCTCGGATATAACACAGTGCAGCTGCAAAAAAACTAATTTGTAACGAAACAGAGTGGAGAGAGCGAATTGCAAAGAATAGGAAGTTTCGGCTTTCCAACAAATTGACCGCCAAGGATCGCATCGCTATCGTTCATGATCATCCGGAACGGTTCCGGCGGAACCGCGTCTATCTACTTCTATTCAGAATACTCTAGAAGACTAGTGGTGATTGGCTGCACTCGGCATTGCAAATCCGAGGCGTCAGAGTGCTCTTCCCTCCCCTTCTATCCCATTCTCCTTTCTCGCTCACTCGAACGCAGAAGAGCACTCCGACGCCTCGGATTTGCAACGCCGGGCGCAGCTAATAATCAAGATCCTCGAGATGTGAATCGCGCACAAATCGGAGTATATGTGCATCTCCAACGCTTCGACAAGTACCTGAATTCACAGGCTTATCGAAAATTCTCGTTTTCCGCCGAACCTCTCGCACCATTCACCCTTCCTCCTTCTGCCTTCCAGCTGTAGGTACGTGCATACATCAGTTTCATGTTCAGCGCAGAAAGAAGGCAGAAAGAAGGCAGGAACGCGCACGCGACACGGAGAATCCCGCCTAAAAAAACCAGCCAGTCTTCTCCCTTCCCTTCTGCCAGTTCAACCTGGAATCTCGGTGTCTTTGAGTCAATCTGTTTTTTTTCTTGCGCTACTTGTGCACGGCCGTAACATTCCGGCGAGATATCAAGAGCGAACGGCAGGAAAGGAACGAAAAGAAGACCGCGTAGCCTGATGTGCAAGGAGGGGACGGAGAGGAAACGGATTGATGAAATGGCGGTCAAAGTCGAGTCCACTCCGAAGTACTGCCAACCGTTGCCGATCGCTCGCGTCGCCCGTGACGCCGATTGTTCATTATTGATCCCGCAGGTTCCACGGGCCAGAGGGTACGCGGGGTACGCGGGGTACGCGGATGACGTGACGGAATCGTGACGATTCGTCCGCAGAAAGGGAAGAGAGATACGGAAGAGCGAGAGCGAGCGAGAGGGAGAGAGAGAAAGAGAGAGAGAGAGAGATATGGGAGGAGAAGCAGAGAAAGAAATATCCAAAGAAAGATATTACCGTTCCAGCCGCCGACGTCTCCGTGGTAGCGTGGTAACCGACAGACGTGTCCATTGATAACCGGGAGCGGGGCGCGAGGAAAAAATGTAAAAACGAAGAAAGTGGAATTGACGGTTAAACCGACGTACGAGAGCCGCTCGTATACGCGATCGTTACACTTAACTTTGCACACTAAATCCGTACTACCAGTACTCCGTGAATCGCGTCGAGAAGTTACTACTACCCGCGCGTATCTACACGAGTCGCGACGCCGCTGTTCTGCGTAGCTCTCGGCGTTCGTTATGCGGGACAGTGTTACCAACCGTACGGCTATCCTCGTCCCCGAGCCTTAGGCTGCGTTCAGAAACACCACTCAAGTACCCCAGCGTATTAAGCCCGCTGCAGACGATGCTATTTTTCCTGCTGGATTGCTTGCAATTTAAGCCCGCTGCAGACGATGCTATTTTTCCTGCTGGATTGCTTGCAATTTAGTAAATTACTAGGAATCCTGAATGCTGAGTGGTGCAATGATAGTAATTTACTAAATCGCAAGCAATCCAGCAGGAAAAATAGCATCGTCTGCAGCGGGCTTTAGTAAATTACTATCATTGCACCACTCAGCATTCAGGATTCCTAGTAATTTACTAAATTGCAAGCAATCCAGCAGGAAAAATAGCATCGTCTGCAGCGGGCTTTAGTCACGTGATCCAAATTCACTACAGCATATTTGCTGCTCACGGAAAAGGAATAGCTGCAGCAGCACTGGCCGGCTAGATCGCGTGTCTGCTGCTTTGCTGTTCGTTCAATTGAACTTCACAGCGATGAAGCAAAATATGGTGAAATTTATTTTGCAGCATCTAGTAACAATTCTTCAACCAATAGCAGCGAGTTGCTGCGGCAGTATGCTGCGCATGAAATGGTACCTTAAGGGTGCGATTACATGCGGCGTAACTTGCGTAAGCGTAATTTGCGTATTCTAGTAACTTCTATAGAAGTTACGCCATTTTAAAACTCGGGATTCACATGGGGCGTATTTCGCGGATTGCGTAATTAATACAACCAATTGGAGATCAGAGTTTCTGTTGTATCCTTCAACAGAAATACAAAACTGATTTGTGATTGATTCTCGCAATCTACGCATTGCGCGAAATACGCTCCATGTGAATTCCAGTCAAGAAAAGACGTAACTTCTCTTTCTGCTTCTGTACGTATAGCTGTACTTGAAATTGGTTATGCTACACTCGGAGGTTATGAGCCAGTCAGAGCCACATAAAGATGTTCACTGGATATGTAAGAGATGACATAAGAAAATTATAAAAACTAAATATTTTTATTGTAACATATACTTTCAGCCTGATATGCTAAATTGGGATAATCATCACAGAGTGAACCAGCGTGAATCACATTAAACAAATTTATTTTATATGCTCGCGTAAGCCAGTACAAAATTTTGAAGTATAACTTAGTATGGTTGTATATGTAAGATAATACCAAATTGTTTTATGTATTATAATAAGTGTTTATTTAAATTTAATGTACTGTTAAGAAAAGATAGAGATCACAACAATGTAATAATGTAAAATAAAAATTATGTGTTAGAAACACGATCGCTAGTCCTTCGGTGATATCTACCTATAATTAGCTTTAAGACATAAAAAAGAATTACACTAAAGAAAACAGTACATATAACCGATATATATAAATACGTAAACTAGCAACTAATACATTATAATTAATATTGCAATTAACGCATCAATGATCTACTCGTATTCTTATCTATTCGCACACTTTCTCTTCCATCTCTGCAAGCAACGTCAGCAGTTTGCAATGGTCCTGAAAACAAGATAGCAATGTTATTGTTGCGATACACATATTTCGACACGTTATTATCGTTATTATAAAGTTATAGTAAAACAAATAAAAGAAAATGTATAAACAAATTACTAACTTTTCAAA